AGTCGTGCAAATGTTCGGCTGTCATGAGTACTTCACCGACATGATACGCCAACTGCACGACGGGATGATGGCGCGCGTCACGGACGACGGAATGGTTTCCGAAGCCTTTGCATTGACCAATTAAGTGAAGCAGGGCTGTGTCCTTGTGCCTACCCTCTGCAGTTTCATGTTCTCTGCTATTCTGATTGAGGCCTTCTATGAGGAGCATCCCGGGATCCGCATTAACTGCAGAACGAACGGGCACATTCTTAACGTCCGACGTATGCAGGCTCCCACGCGCGTCCCCACGACCACGGTTCATGACCTGCTGTTTGCGGACGACCGCACTCTCAACAACACAAGATGCAAAGGAGCATGGACCTCTTCGCCGCAGGTTGCGCAAACTTCGGCTTCACCATCAACACGGATAAAACGGTGGTCATGAATCCACCGCCGCCGGGTACTTACTACCATGCTGCACGTAGCAACGTCAACGGCGCTGAGCTCAAAAAACGTGGACAACTTTGCCTATCTCGACAGCATGCTATCCTGCAACACCAGAATGGATGACGAGGTTGCTCGAGGGATCTTCAAAGCCAGCCAAGCCTTCGACCGACTTCAAGCCTCTGTGTGGAATTGTCACGGTCTCCAGCTGTTCACGAAATTGAAGATGTACAAGGCCGTCTTGCTCACGTCACTCCTGTACGGAGCGGAGACTTGGACCGTTTATGCCAACCAAGCTCGAACCTAAACGACTTCCATCTCCGCTGCCTCCACTTGATAATAGAGTTAAGATGGCAGGATAGAATCCAGGACACGGAAGTCCTGAAGAGAACGGGATTTCTCAGCATCCAGGCCATGTTCAGGCAGAAACAACTGCGCTGGAGCGCTCACTAGGTATGGATGAATGACCAATGACTACCCAAGCGACTTTTTTTACGGCGATGTCGCCGTAGGTGCTCACCGCAAAGGAGGACAAAGCAGGCGCAAAAATGACACCCTCAAGAACTCTTTGAAGCGTCTTCAAATCAACAGGGCAACTTGGGAGAAACTCGCGCAGGAGCGAGCTGCTTGGCGAAGAACGGTAAAAACTGGCCCAACAATCTACGAAGCCGGTCGGATTGCCGCCGCCAAGGCAAAAAGGGCGTCTCGCAAGTTTCATACTTAACGGACTCACGCCGTCACTGCTCAAGCCGTTCCAACCTGCCCACGCTGTCAACGCACCTTCCTTGCACGCATCGGCTTGATCGGCCACCTCCGGACGCATTGCGCCATCCCTCTGACGGCGTCCACTTCTACGCCGTCAAACACTTAACAGAAACTTCTGTGGCCAGCACTTCGACGGCAACCACCCTAACTACAGATGTTCCGCTACTTCATCCACCGATATCATCTCACCCACAACTCTCTC